TAGACACACTTTGCAAAAGCTCTAGACCCTCAATTCAATGACCTTGCCATTGATTGTTATGTCTTTCGAGGTCAGCATCGTTTCCCTTATTCTACACAATCATTATTCTCTAATCGTGGTTCATGTCCTTCACCAAACATCCTATTTGTGTGGATTAGGAGATTAACAGAAAGTGAAATGAAGAAATCTACCGAATCAGTTGCTAAGAGTAAAAGTTGTCCATCTAGACAAGGATTTTTAACACAGAGTTGCAAAATATATTGTTAAAAATTTGAAAACTATTAATTAAAAAGACTTACATTTGAAGAAATCATGTTGCTCTTTAAATAAAAGACTATCATTATGTATAAAAAAGAAAAGTATAACTCTGACCATATTTTTCCTTGTCACTCTCAATTCCACTGGATCTTTAAAAATGTACCTGTCCATTTCAGGACCAAACAAATTCTAAGCACAAAGCCTTGTTTTGCAGAAAAAAAATAAAAAAGCTTCTGTAAAATGGCTCACGTGATCTTTTAGGATGGAGCGATGTGAGCTTTTGTGGTGACACACACACACACAATCATGAAAAACACAACGGACAATTTCTAAAAGTATTATGAATTACATTGATGAATTCATTAAATCCAGTTAACTAAAAAACAAATGAAATAAAACAAAACTTCACTATTTTAAATGGCTGTCCATCATTTGTCATCTAAACTTATATTTGTTTGCTTCCTGAGTGCAATTGAGTAACAGAATTAGTATTTTTTCCTCCATATTATGTTATGTAAATAGTCAACAAAATAGAATGTAAATTAGCTTGGTCTTATTTCCAATTCATATTAGAAAGGGAATTGGAAACTTCATGTTTATTTTTCATGCTGTAGTTTAGAGCAAAAGGTTAATGTTTGCTTAACAACTACATTGGACATACATCAAACGTATAGTAGAAAAAAATCAGTATTCACTGTTTAGGATTTGAAAATATTAACATGAAAATAATTAGACATATCTTTAAAAAATGCATCAATCTAAATATGTTGTTTTGCCAGTTTTTTTCCAAGTAAAATAATTCTCTACTTTGATTATTGTTGTTCCAAATTTCTGGGTCACTAGTTTATTTATTGTTTATTTTCCTAAATGTAAAATAAGCTTTCTTTTTCTTTTTCTTCCCCCCACCCCCGAATGCATTGAGATATTCTCAGAAACAAATATGGCATTTGGAAAAGCTTTGTAATTGGCCATTTATCTATATTATAGACATGTTTGTTTTATGACTTCGTATTGCAACATGTTTCAAAATCAGTGGGTTTAATTAAGAATTAAAACATGCATTTGAGAGTCCCAGAAAGCACTTTTCTGGCCAGTATACATTGCTTGATTTTTAAGCTACAAGTTTGGGGTATAGAAGCAAAATGGTGCTGATGTTCCACTTGCTAATTCAGAGGTTTTCATGTTTCAGGAAGCTGAAGGACAGCAAGCCAACTAACTCTTGGTCAGAGCAATAGTTTGGGCTTTGGGTTGTACATATCACTTTCATAACACATTTTTAACCACGACGGTCTGCCACAATAGAAAGACGGCAATCCAATCCAGTGCGATGCCATATGGCTCCTCATTTAACCCAGATCGCTTGTTCAAAAGAACTTACCCATTTAAGAAAATGGTACACTGTAAATTATAGCTTGATTGGAGGACCTGAGGTGCCACTAGACAGAGATGAGAGCTTTAAAGTATGAAAAATCACTTAATTTTGTTTATTGAAAATTTGGAGGTCCTATAATGGGAACACTGATTTCTTTCTGGAGAAGCATGGCTAGCTACATCAACAGTAATTTTTTCAAAACATGGACCCAGAAATAGCAAATCCACCAATCCAATATCACGGCTTAGTCTACAAGGGCTTGCTCTGAAAAGGTTTTTCATAATATTGCTTAATTTAATCTGCAGATGACGAAACACATTCAAATATTCAAATTCCCTGCTCATTTTAAAACCATAAAAGACTGAGGTTATTTCTCTGTCAGGAAATTGTAAATAACATTTTTTAAATCAGAAATCAGAATCACATTTAAAACAGTGGATTGTTCTACAAATATTTATGTGTATATATACATATGCTTCTGAAAATAAGGTTATATTATATAGAGATTTTATTTGATTTGTGGTCTTTAGTAATAGGGAATAAAAAAGATGTTTGAATGCAAAACTTTATATATAAATGTATATTTCTAATGATAGTACATAATGCCAATTTATAATAAAAAAGAAACTGGTGGGAACAAATACTAAATCACTTGCGCATTCAGAATTCAGTGATTCTGAAACCCCTTTTGGTAGAGAGAGAATTAGTTTTATTTCTAACAACTATCTTAAGAAGCTATACTTTGGATAACAATTCCATGAAAAGTCATATTCAATTGAAAATATATTGTAGAGGGAAGGAAAAAGATGCTAAATACCAATCTTCATTTTTCAGGATTTCACCTGGATCCCAAGTTAAAATTTAATATTTCAATTTAAATTGATGTGAAAATGTCTGATGTTCAGGGAGGTGATATATTGAGCTTCAGGCATAAATGAAAGCAAAAATAATATTAAACATTACATAAAGCACTAGGGTTACGGCATTATAACAATTGCATCAGTTGTTTTGTTAGTTGGAAATAATCTGCTGCCGTTTCTTCTGCTCTAATGACAGTAGCATTTATTTTACTCGGTTATTTTTAAAAATTCAAAATCTCCCATGAATAGAATTGATTTTAGCTATATTACATGGTTAAATGTTATAGTCTTAAGAAATGATTGACACTGAAATGTTTAATAAACATGTATGAGAAATTGAACCAACGAATGTTTTTTTCCTTTTTTTCATTAAAACACAAAATATTCAAATCATTGTTTTTTGGGATCAGATTTGTAAAATGTTTATACATCACAACCCTCCTGAAGTGAAAAGCAATGAAAATCTAGACATGCTCAAGCATATAAACAAAGTACTGGCACTTTTTCTTTTACATTAAACTTCTTTGGGAAGTCTTTTTTAATGTGTTTAATATGTAATGTGTCACTGAAAAGTATTAAGTCATTAAAATCAAAGGTGTATTGATGGATGAAAATAGGTCCTATTTTTTACTGGACACTAAAATCAAAAGTTCCTAAAACTCTCTATGAAGTTGCTTGAACAACATTTCTCATAGTAAAAATCTTGCTGTACCAATATTAAGAACAATGGCACATTCATTTGTTTGTTCACAGCTTACTATCAAGAGCTTGGTTGAGTTTGTTGTTGGATTAGGTGCCACCAAGTGGGCTCTGACTCAAAAGGATCCCATGTTCAATAGAATGAGACTCTGCCTGGGTCCTATGCCACCCTTATATTTGAGCCTATTGGTGAAGCCATTATGTCAGCCCATCTCCAAAAGTGTCTTCTCCCCCCCCC